ACAAATCACCTCCCCACCAGCCCCAGATTTTTTGCACAGACCAGCACATTGGTCTCATGTGTTCCCATCATCAGCAGCAACCAGGACGTGAGCTCAAGATCCTCTTTCAAACTGTTGAGTGTCATATTGAGTGCTGGCCATCTGAGCTTGTGAGCAGTGGTTAGAGGTATGTCCCTGTTTGAACTGAGTTCTAGGAAGGTGATGACCAGCTGTGGGACCTGGTTTTTGGTATGTGTATGCCCTTCTGATCACCTTCCTCTGCTTCCATGCTGTTGGCACCATATCAGGGCCTCTCAGGACAGGGTGTGGGTCATTGTGACAAACGTTCCTTTCAAAGGACATTTGCCATGAATTCCTGGAGGAGTGTGGAAGCTGGCCTACTGCCCACAGACTATGGGCCAAATCCTGTTCCAGAGTTAGCCTGCCTTGCCTTGCCAAAAGACTTTCCCCCGCTTCCCCTGGTTCGGCACTTTCCCTTGGACGAATGGAACCAAATGCTGGCTCCCTGGAAGCCATTCGCATGGACCAAAACTGTCAACAGACTTCAGCGGTACTTATCCATGATTGCCCTGGAACTAAATTCGGCATGAGGACTTTACAGTTCCCGGTCGGTCCCCAAAGGAACTTAGCCTCAATTGTTATGGAACTATTTTCGGCTAGAGGACTATGCCGCTACCGAGCAACTTGGTCCGGTGTTTTGGACCACGTACCTGAGACACATACCGTTTTGAAACATGCCTGAGAATATAGGGAACAAATGCTGCCTGAGAGCCAGTGGGAGCACCCCGTAGATCGTCCCCTGGAGCTCCCGAAAGTTGACCGGCAAGAGCACACATCACCCTGGAACTGTTATGGGCACAGGACCATGTATGCAACTGGACAGAACTTTGACACATTAACAATTTCGAATGAATCTGAGTGCTATTTGGACAACTTGGGCACTCAGCTCAAGGATGTATAATTTGTGGGGTTATTTTATAATATGAATGTATTTTTGTGGTGTTTTATATATTGCATGTTTTTGTATGATTTTGTGACTGAGAGATAATGGAGTTAACGGTTCTATTGATACAATTATGTCTCAGACAATGTGACTACCTGAGGGGAGACTGTGTGATGTTAAATGGACACCCTCTGCTGGGGGCTGTGTATATAAGCAGGCCATTTGGTCATATTAAACCAGTTTGCAACGGACCACCTGGCACCCCGACTGGGTACCTCTGTTAATGGATGCTCCTAGTGCTTCCCAAGGGGCTCCAACCACTCCACCAGACACCATAACCACCGTAGACCCCACGTAAGGCGTTTCACTGTATATTTTAAGCCGTGTCACTGGATTTTGTTAAGCGGTGTCACTGTATATTGTAAGGTGTGTCACTGGATAATGTAAGCCGTGTCGCTGTATATTGTAAGGTTTTTGAGAAGTCCAAGTAGTACTTTAAAATAGTCCAATATATAAAAGGTCCACATTCCCTGAAAGCGATCCTAATAGTACAATGGATGGGATATGAAGTGACAGATGTGGGTTCGTTACTAGAGTTGATATGTGGAAGTGGCAGAAAACAGAGAAAGACTCCAATGGTGCAGTATGTCATAAAAAAGGAATATTTTGTGTATAGTAATAGAACTACTCACAATATCCAGAGCTTAAATCCAGCTCTGGTTTGAATGACACTGGTGGAACAATCCCCACTTAAGGATATTTGCTCTTCTAGGATTCTTCAATGAGGTAGTTCAATAGGGTGGTCCAGCTTAGGATAAAAGAAAAGAAAATATATAGTTTTCCCTGTATAATTTAGGATGGTAAAAATATATATATATACTCACAGTATAATGAGCAGACACACTGCTCGATGAGTAATGTGTGGGTGGTACAATCCCCACCTAGGGATTCTTTGATACTTCCTTTTGGCAGAAGAACGATAATGTCAGGTCAAGACAGTTCCTTTCCATTGGTGTGCTGCCTTGCTGTTATATTTACTGTTTACCCTGTTGGCTTATCAGATCCTTACTTTCTATTTATTTTAAATTGTAAGCCGTGTAACTGTATATTGTAAGGTGTGTCACTGGATATTGTAAGGTGTGTTGGGGATAAAATCAGCCTGGGCCCTTTGTGGATGATGGATATTTGCCAACTCATACAGAGCTCTGGAAATTGGAAATGAATAGCAGAGACGTGTTCAATAACCAATTCAAATTGTATTCATACGTCAGTTATATTTATAACCCATTTTCATAGCAGGATGGGAGGGGGAAAAATGACCATATGGGCGTGACAATGACATTGTTTTTCACAAGTTATAAACAGCTGTTTTTAGTTATAATTCGATGTTACATAATGTATGCATATTGGATAAAACCCAGATGATTACAAATACAGAAATCTTGGACAATTAACAAGGTCATTCCAGAATCCTTATCATGTCATGTCATGTCATGTCATCATGTCATGTGTCATGTCATGTCATGTCATGCAAATATCTTTTTTCCAGGAACATAACAAAATCATGTTTCAATAACATTTCTGAGAATTGGAGATACAATTCCAAATTTATTCTTGATTCAAATTAACCCTTACATGAACAGTTAGGATATAGAGCAAAATGGATATTCGCATCTACAATTCCCCTCTTAGATCATATCATGATCTACCTTATGGAATATCCATGGGAGGCCTGCGGCAGAGAAACGAAAGGAGGTATATTCAGACGTGCTAATCACGTCTGCGGGACTTTCCTTATTTCTTCACCTCGATTTCCCCCATTTGCTCTATGCCGTAGGTTTTCCCTTTAAGAGGAGATCGAGCTGTCGATTTTCAGCTTCTGTAATCATCTGTTGTACACATCTTTTAAGTGTACAAGTTAAATATTTCAAACAGCTGACATCTTAACTGCACATCATGTTATCTGCAACTTGAGCCTTGGATCAAAACAGGCAAAGTGTATTATTCCCAACAACGGGAATATTATTATTATAATTCACAATGTAAACACATATAATCAAAAATGGGAATAAAATCTATTTCCCCTCTTTGGACCAGGGTCTTGGATTACCAGTCCACCCAGTGAACTTGGGCCAGGTCAAAAATCCCAGTGGCAAAAACTCATAATTGAGAAAAAAAGCACATCTGGGTAAATTCTAAGTGAGGGCCATGACTGTGTAAACATGTCATCCCCTCACGTTGACAGCATTAGTGACTTATAAAACCTGCACTATGTAAGTAAATAGCTCAGGTATCGGGATTGGGAAACACTTCTTGATTAGTTTGAAAAGGCCACTTACATATTAAATCATAAGATCATTTCTAATCAGTTTGCAATTCTAGCAATAATCCCAATCATGACCTTGCGTCCTATGCCTCCTAATCAAATCCCTATTTCGATAGTCCAGTCATATCCACACTTAATACATTGGAATCCATCCTTGGTACACTCAACATACATCAATGACACACATAGTACATCCATGCCTGAGTAAGCTAACACTTCCTCTCTCTCCGGCTAACTCTACAAAAATAAAAATAACAAAATAGTTCAATAGTCCAGCATAGTCCAGAAAAATATTATAAGTCTTTCAAGGAGTATAAAGAATCTTAGACACCATAAACTTTGTTCCATAATCTTAGACACCATAACATAGCTAAGGGTAGCAATATGGCTGACAACAAGACAATGTCAGCTTCCACATAGTTCTTAATTCTTCTGTTTGCTGGATGTTCACCACAATACTCTGTGCAACACCCCAATTGTTGAAAGGGTAATACAGAAATAGCGGCATTAGACAGCACTGCATCTTCAGGACTTTCCAAGTTAGTTTATGTCCTCATAAGTAAGCATCTCAGTTTCTTCGGCCAGCATGGATTTTGACCAAACAGATTTAATTGCAAAAAAGGTAAGTAGGCAGGTAGGTCAGCCAGAGAGATTGGTGTGTAGTCCCAAATATCAGGCAGCACAAATACTCCAGTACGGTCTCTATAATCATACAAACACAAGGATCAGTACGACATCAATAAATTAATTATCTAGGCTAAACTCAAATTAGAGACTAAAGTTAAACTCTTAACTAGTGTAACATGTACGTCTCTCAGTTTTGCTTATGTCCTTTATAAAATTTTAATACATAATTTCCCTTTAAAATGCCTTGTATGGATGAGAGAAGCACTCATTCTATATAAATGCTTGTTGAGTACTAAAACACTAACATATACATATTGGTATAATTCCCAATAAAATGCTGTTCTTAAACTTAAACCTTGATTTGATACTCTCAATTAATTACTTTAATAAAATTTTGTGGACCCTGATAACATCTTTGGAAACCGAAACCTTTTATAGATCCCGATGTGTGTGATCATGTTTTAATACATGTTGGAACCTCCATACAGTTATCCCACTTAAACAATATATTTATTTTTTTTCCAGAACAACTAGGAATGAAATAGGAGAAACAAAATAAATTACTATTGTTCTAAAGTGCTTTGTTTAATACAGGTTTCGGAAGAGTTGTCTTGCTGTGTTGCAAGTGGCCTCTGATAAGGAAGGGACAGCAAACTGTAGACATATGTTATATTAAGTTGCTCTCACTTGTCAGGTCTTGGAAACCCACTTAATTTATTGCAGATGCCTCTATTATACCACTTTACAAATTGACTAAGCATACTTATTATCCTATTTTATTTTAGTTATTTCACATTGCACAGCCTATGCAAACAATGTCTAGGTCCCAACTTCAGCTTGTACATCCTCTAAGAGCCAGCATTAATACTGTTTTATCTATCAAAACTATATATAAAGTATTAAAAACATGAACCATCTGTGTATTAGGCTGAGGTTGTTGGGTGTGGGTATAGCTTGAAAGTTGTGGTTGGTATTGAGGAACCTGCCAGGGTGGGAGTCCTTGAATGCCAGCTGGGCCAGGTTGACCAGGAGAACCGGGTTCACTACAAGCACCTTTGGGTGAATCCCTGCTATCCATAATTAAAACAGTGCTGAAGTTACCATCTCTACAAAAGTTAAATCCTTTGATCAAATTCTCTACCTCTGCCTCTAAAACATTTCTGATTCAATCTATCACCTCCAAACTTTCTTTGTCTCGCCTGCTTAAGATCACAATCCTTTTGTGACCGATACAACATACTTTTCCCTCTTTCTTTATATCCAAAACAACCTGCTGTATCTTTCTCATGTATCTTCCCAAAAAATTCAGTTCAAAGAGGGCCAGTCACAGACCAACAGTTTGACCAAAAGTGAACAAGGAGGAAGCATATTCCATATGAAGGTCGAGATGACTTAACTCACACCCCCTCTTTGTGTACACCTATTTGTGTACCACACATATATAATATTAATAGGCTTTTGAAGATTTATTGTGCATGTATAGCACAGTTGTCTAGGGGTATATTCATAAACAGTGAAAGCAGAGTCTTCATATGGGGTTTGCAATACTGACAGTCTGGGTCATAGGTGTAATACAGACATGCGGTTAGGAACTTTTCCATTGTCAGAACACTAATTTATTGCAAATATTAAAATCATATTGCAGCTGTTTCCTATACCTGCAAGGATATGGTTTTAATACTTCAATTGAGTTCAAATTGAGTATCAAAAATTCTAACCACAAAAACTAAATTTCATATGCTTATCAAAATGAGTTTAACCCCTTAGTAATTTAATAGGGTGACCTCTTCCCATAGTATGGTTCCTTTTATTATTATTATATTATTTATTCTCTTCTGGGTCTGCAAAATGCTTTCAATATACCAATACAAATATAATACAGTAGTTTAGAATTGCCTCAAAAGAAATTATCTGATCTCTATTAAAAATACCATTTCATAATTTTCCTATAATCAATGAGGCATACTAGATGAATCTTAATCTTGGAAAAAACCTATCCTATACATCCATAATTTTTCTTGTTGTATAACCATATAACATAACACATTTTTCTTTTCTTAAATAATGCAATGCACTTTAAAAGTAGCGTTAACTCTAAATACTCCCCTAATAATACTGAAACGTGGATCCACGATTTTGAAAAGCAAATTATATATTTTTCTTTTTCTTTCCCAGGGGCCCCTTTCTTGTTGGCTGATCAGCGTTTTTTTAATCTGTTGTAAAAAGACACTAAAGGCTTGCGTTAATGACATGCAAATATTCTTTAAATATTCTTCATACTCATTGTAATATCACACATCATCTTATAGCACAGAAAACATGTAGCAGATATCCAGCAGACATGCCAATACAAAAAGCATATTCTTGGACAGGTAATTAACTCAATCCAAAATAAATTAATAAATGTCACACTCTGTGACAGACATAATATAGGTTCTCATGTTTGTGCATTATGCAAGTCTGCAAACTATGCAAGCAGTACTATTTTAAGGTTAGATCAGAGCACCTGGCAACTGGACAGGAAAGTCACATTTTGGCAGGAAGTCCATTATTGCAACAGAATTTTGGAAATCAGCTAAAATTTACAAAAACAGACTCCCTCCTTTTTTCTTTCTTAAGACTACAACTCATATTGCTCTTGGACTAGTATTCTCTAATAAATCAGTTATTTAATAGATTATTACGCTGCCATTTTCATCTGTATCAATACTAAGACAAACTTATTCAAATATAATTTAAAATAACACATAATAAATTAACATACATGACAATTAAACTGCGCACTTCAAAATGAGTAACCAAAACAAACATTTATGACAATCATCATTCACACAGAATAAACTTCTAACAGCTGTATTCAGAACATATTATTGTAAGGTATACCAATTTTAGTTTGTATTGGATTTATTTAAGATTTCTGGTACCAAAGGGTTTATTTTTTTATTTTTTACAGAAGGGATCCCGTACGGCCATATAATGCGTTTGACTTAAACATTTGTATAACACTTGCATTAACCAGTTGCGACATATGAAACCTGTCAATGGAATTTCTCTCTTATACGCTTATAGAACATTTGGACCAGATTACACAGACATGGTATCACCTGCATTTGTCAGAACTCTCAAAGACTCAAAATATTTATACTACTCCATGTTAAAGGCATGGCAAAACTTTGACCGGTCAATTTGAGTTTCCAAAAGTCATATCAACACAGGTAAAAACCTTTGTCCATGGTTTTCTGATCCTACATTCCATGACCAAAATTTCAAACCCACTTCTTCACAGTTTGGGTCGCAAGCAATAAAATCTCAGCAACCCCATACAACAATCTACAGAATACATACAATTTAAAGCACATACAACATGTGACGTACTGGAATACTACAAGTTAGCTTACAGCACAATATGAAGCATGTGTTGGAACGCTGAAAATATACATTTTGCTCTCTAATTTATAATCATCTAAATTTACAACATAAGTTCTCTGCAACAAACACTCAGGGCAGAAAGAATGTGGTGTTTGACGTTTTGAATGAAGTGACTTTTTGTCCCAATATGAAAATAAAGGGCTCATCATATAAACAATCATACCTCTTACCTAAGAGGAAATGTGCACAATAACTACTACTACCTACCAAAGGCAATCCTCCAACCCGTGGAGTAATAGAAGTCTACCTAAGACTTAACAAAATACCATGTCTACCAAAGACATTATCCTGTGAAAATCCCCTTTAAAAATTTTAAATAGTGAAAAACCCCATTACAAATGCAATGTGTGGGGGATGGGAGAAGCAGGTAAAGAAGGACTTTAAAGATCCCCTTACCTGTCATCTCCGTTCCGTCCAACTGCACCCAAAAACTTCTGACACCAATTTGTTGGGGATAAAATCAGCCTGGGCCCTTTGTGGATGATGGATATTTGCCAACTCATACAGAGCTCTGGAAATTGGAAATGAATAGCAGAGACGTGTTCAATAACCAATTCAAATTGTATTCATACGTCAGTTATATTTATAACCCATTTTCATAGCAGGATGGGAGGGGGAAAAATGACCATATGGGCGTGACAATGACATTGTTTTTCACAAGTTATAAACAGCTGTTTTTAGTTATAATTCGATGTTACATAATGTATGCATATTGGATAAAACCCAGATGATTACAAATACAGAAATCTTGGACAATTAACAAGGTCATTCCAGAATCCTTATCATGTCATGTCATGTCTTGTCGTGTCATGTCATGTCATGTCATGCAAATATCTTTTTTCCAGGAACATAACAAAATCATGTTTCAATAACATTTCTGAGAATTGGAGATACAATTCCAAATTTATTCTTGATTCAAATTAACCCTTACATGAACAGTTAGGATATAGAGCAAAATGGATATTCGCATCTACAAGGTGTGTCACAGTATATTGTAAGGCGTGTCACAGTATATTGTAAGGTGTGTCACTGTATATTGTAAGGTGTGTCACTGTATATTGTAAGGCTTGTCACTGGATATTGTAAGGCGTGTCACTGTATATTGTAAGGTGTGTCACTGTATATTGTAAGGCTTGTCACTGGATATTGTAAGGCGTGTCACTGTATATTGTAAGGTGTGTCACTGTATATTGTAAGGCTTGTCACTAGATATTGTAAGCCGTGTCACTGTATATTGTAAGGCGTGTCACTGTATATTGTAAGGTGTGTCACTGTATATTGTAAGGTGTGTCACTAGATATTGTAAGCCGTGTCACTGTATATTGTAAGGTGTGTCACTGGATATTGTAAGGTGTGTCACTGTATATTGTAAGGTGTGTCACTAGATATTGTAAGCCGTGTAACTGTATATTGTAAGGCGTGTCACTGTATATTGTAAGGCTTGTCACTGGATATTGTAAGGCGTGTCACTGTATATTGTAAGGTGTGTCACTGTATATTGTAAGGCGTGTCACTGTATATTGTAAGGCTTGTCACTGGATATTGTAAGGTGTGTCACTGTATATTGTATGGTGTGTCACAGTATATTTTAAGCCGTGTAACTGTATATTGTAAGGCGTGTCACTGTATATTGTAAGGCGTGTCACTGTATATTGTAAGGCTTGTCACTGGATATTGTAAGGCATGTCACTGGATATTGTAAGGTGGGTCACTGTATATTATAAGCCATGTAACTGTATATTGTAAGGTGTGTCACTGGATATTGTAAGGTGTGTCACTGGATATTGTAAGCCGTGTAACTGTATACTGTAAGGTGTGTCACTGTATATTGTAAGGTGTGTCACTGGATATTGTAAGGCGTGTCACAGTATATGTTAAGCCGTGTAACTGTATATTGTAAGGTGTGTCACTGGATATTGTAAGGTGTGTCACTAGATATTGTAAGGCGTGTAACTGTATATTGTAAGGTGTGTCACTGGATATTGTAAGGTGTGTCACAGTATGTTTTAAGCCGTGTAACTGTATATTGTAAGCCGTGTAACTGTATACTGTAAGGTGTGTCACTGGATATTGTAAGGCTTGTCACTGGATATTGTAAGGTGTGTCACTGGATATTGTAAGGCTTGTCACTGGATATTGTAAGGTGTGTCATTGTAAGGCTTGTCACTGGATATTGTAAGGTGTGTCACTGTATATTATAAGCCATGTAACTGTATATTGTAAGGTGTGTCACTGGATATTGTAAGGCGTGTCACTGTATATTGTAAGCCGTGTAACTGTATATTGTAAGGTGTGTCACTGGATATTGTAAGGTGTGTCACTTTATATTGTAAGCCATGTAACTGTATATTGTAAGGCTTACAATATCTGCTATATTGTAAGGTGTGTCACTGGATATTGTAAGGTGTGCCACTAGATATTGTAAGCCGTGTAACTGTATATTGTAAGGTGTGTCATTGGATATTGTAAGGTGTGTCACAGTATATTTTAAGCCGTGTAACTGTATATTGTAAGGTGTGTCACTGGATATTGTAAGTCGTCTCACTGGATATTGTAAGGCTTGTCACTGGATATTGTAAGGCGTGTAACTGTATATTGTATGGTGTGTCACTGGATATTGTAAGGCGTGTCACTGGATATTGTAAGGTGTGTCACAGTATATTTTAAGCCGTGTAACTGTATATTGTAAGTCGTCTCACTGGATATTGTAAGGCATATCACTGTATATTGTAAGGCTTGTCACTGGATATTGTAAGGCGTGTCACTGTATATTGTAAGGCTTGTCACTGGATATTGTAAGGTGTGTCACTGGATATTGTAAGGCGTTGTTGTAAGGTGTGTCACTGGATATTGTAAGGCGTGTCACTGTATATTGTAAGGTGTGTCACAGTATATTTTAAGCCGTGTAACTGTATATTGTAAGTCGTCTCACTGGATATTGTAAGGCGTGTCACTGTATATTGTAAGGCTTGTCACTGGATATTGTAAGGCATGTCACTGGATATTGTAAGCCGTGTAACTGTATATTGTAAGGTGTGTCACTGGATATTGTAAGGTGTGTCACTAGATATTGTAAGCCGTGTAACTGTATACTGTAAGGTGTGTCACTGGATATTGTAAGGCGTGTCACTGTATATTGTAAGGCTTGTCACTGGATATTGTAAGGCATGTCACTAGATATTGTAAGCCGTGTCACTGTATATTGTAAGGTGTGTCACTGGATATTGTAAGGTGTGTCACTAGATATTGTAAGCCGTGTAACTGTATACTGTAAGGTGTGTCACTGGATATTGTAAGGCGTGTCACTGTATATTGTAAGGCTTGTCACTGGATATTGTAAGGCATGTCACTAGATATTGTAAGCCGTGTCACTGTATATTGTAAGGTGTGTCACTGGATATTGTAAGGTGTGTCACTAGATATTGTAAGCCGTGTAACTGTATACTGTAAGGTGTGTCACTGGATATTGTAAGGCGTGTCACTGTATATTATAAGCCGTGTAACTGTATATTGTAAGGTGTGTCACTGGATATTGTAAGGTGTGTCACTTTATATTGTAAGCCGTGTAACTGTATATTGTAAGGCTTACAATATCTGCTATATTGTAAGGTGTGTCACTGTATATTGTAAGGTGTGTCACAGTATATTTTAAGCCGTGTAACTGTATATTGTAAGTCGTCTCACTGGATATTGTAAGGCATGTCACTGTATATTGTAAGGTGTGTCACTGGATATTGTAAGGCTTGTCACTGGATATTGTAAGCGGCGTGGCTGATCAGAGTTAGAAATCAATCCAATAGCCAGAGTAACTGAAAGTAAAAAAGATCATGGCTGGTTTTATTTTTCTACATTCATATCTCTTTAGGTTTTTGTGTTAGAAATAGATTAATGTCTCAGTGGTTCAGAAAAGGAGAACATGGACCATAACATGTAAAACTTGCATGCTCACCTAAACACCCACAGCTGCTCTAAAACCAAAATTTTAAGTATTGTGGCTTGTGCAAGCATGAACTCATATATATATAAAAAAGTGACCCGAGCTCCTGGACACTGACTAAATGCCAGCAAAATGTACGTGTTTCATGCTATAAATGACACTTATTCCCTGATGTCTCTATATAGTGGTGTGGGATTTTGCTTTCTTTTACATATTTACTGAAAGTGCTTAATAATGCTTGCATAACTGTCTCTATACAGGAAATGTACATCCTATATCTTTGCGTTGGCATGGTTAATAAGGGGTCAATTATGATTCCATACTAGTGATTCTCGATTTATTTAAAATGTATCTAGTGCAGGCTGTGAAATAGGTATATAATAATAATATAATAATATATAAATACCACATAAATCTCCATAGACGTAAGGTTTTCCATTAAGTAGTCAAACATGGTGCTTATGTTTAGTCACTTCTTTTTTCAAGTTGCAGAGGTTCTAATGGGCATTATATTATTTTTTTCTACATATGATGAGGATTACATGCGGTTAAGTGCAAAAGGACAGGAGGTGGAGGTGGAGTTTACTGAGAAAGACGTGGAGTCAAATTCCATTACATATGACTTACTGCCTTATAGTTCACATAGCAATATATCCCTGATAAAGGCACTGATAGAACACCTTTCTCTTCCCAAACTAGAAACAGAGGTAAGAAAGTCCTAATTCACATGTATATTGTTGTATGTATGCATGATATGTGGATGTTTGTTACTACTATATAAAGCTGAGGGTATGTGTAGATATAATATGTGTTAAGAAAACAAGCTACTAAAGTAAAAATAGTTCATATTGGCATAATATGATGTGTCGTACAGAAGTATCAGAAGTAGATTGATCATTATATATATTATATCTATATTATATCTCATTTTTTGTGTTGTTTTTCACACACATTGTACTTTAGGTATGGATTATCAGTTCTTGTTATGTGTTACTGCCAAAGAACACCCCAATATGTGTTCAGTAACATCTCCTAAATACAGTGATACCACGCATGTAGAGGTGTGTCGGGTTCTCTGGGGGCTAAAAGACCTTATTTGGAGGGTGCGCATTCCAGTTTTCAAACCTGGAATTTTCACAGCTGGTCATCATGCACCCATGTCCTATTTGGGACATTTTTAAATCCGGCCAATGTAATTTACCCCAATCAAACCATACATTTTTGAAAAGTAGACACCCTAGGGTATCTCAGTGTACGGTCGGTCTCCGTTCGGGAAGTTGAAATACATGAAAATATACAACAGAATGTTTTGTGTCTTCATTCGTTTAATTTCCCCCGTTTGTATGGTTCTTTTTACCAAACACCGCTCTGTTCCCTTGAGTTCCCATGAACTTAAGCGAGGATGGAAGTCTCTGCAGTGTTTGTGCCGTTGTGTGTCCGATTTGGGTTCCAGACACTCGACGACCAAACACCTCTGGTGTAATTCGTATGTTAAGATGGCCACCGCCACGTGTTCGTATGACGAACGGTGGCCACCCAGGAACACCCACTTAGTTTGTGTGTGTACCCTTTAAAGTGGAACAAACATACACCAAAAGGTGAATAAAATATACAGGATAATTTACCTATATATATCTCCCACAATGTAGACAAAAAGGACTCCTCCCAGTCCTCATAGAAAATACAAACAGAAAAAAATATCTACAGAGGGGAAGAAATAAAACAACTCATAGGGTAGTG